GTGTGCCTAGAAGTATTCGGTACATTGAAAAAAGCCAATGACCTCATCGGGATCGAACCCGCGACCTTCCGGCTTGAAGCATAGTGCTTCAATCAACTACTCTTCCGCGTGCCCCATATTGATAACTTTACGATCTGAGAAAATATCTGCATACTGTTCGATTAGTAACTTGCGTAATATTCCGGCTGTTTTAAAAAATTACATCGGCTGCAGCTACTTCTTCCAAAATCATCAATATCAAGTTTTGCTGACTTTCCAAAATTCGCTCTGAATACAAATGTAGTTTAAATAATTACTGAGAACTACGTCATCCCTTTTAGATTAGGCCGTGACAACGTGGTGGGTCGCGACCCACAGTTTATCAAACCATGGTTTACGGAATTGTTTCGCGGCTGGAGGGTAAGGGGTGGGGGAATGGAGGAGTTGGATGTGAAGCCTCTAGCGTGTACCTCCCTCTTCCTCACCCTAGCGGCGTTCCTGAAGACGGCCCTGGTTACCCGTGACATTAGTTGATCTCTGCAAGTCCCCACAATCCATCTCAATTTGCCATCTAGTTGAAAGGCACACACTAAGAGACGAACGGTATAAGATATCTTTCGCCATATATAGAGAATATAACTCGAAGGGCATCACCGAAAGAAAGAGAGCAGCCACAGAGAACGATGAAAGGGAAGGAGTAAGTGTAGAAAAGAAAAATGTGACGCCATTAATCTGCATTACTATACATGCACGTGGCTCGCCAGGGTTTTGGAACAATAATATATATGAAATAGCTTGTGCGAGTCGAGTTCGCCCTTCAGCTATTCATCAAGTTGGCCTTTTACATCATTAATACTGATGCATGGTCTGTTCTCTCTGGGTGTGACGCCCGAATACGTTGCTCCTCTTCCACTCTGACACCTAGACGGGTATACGAACAAGGTAATGACAGAACACACCTCAGGGTGATCTCAAAATCAAAAGTACTGTTTCACGAGCAACCTAAATAAAGCATTCTGTCTTGAAACCCAAAGACTGCATATTTATGAACGTTATTATATTCGCCAGTGAATGAGGAGGACAGTCACGATTAGATTTCTTCGTTAAATATTGTTAGAACCATCAAAGGAAGGGAGGAAGGATAGATGGGCGGGGCATATATCACGCATGTGCAGATAAGAGTTTTAGTTGGAAAATTTGAAGGGAAGAGACCACTGTCAACATTTCGGCGTAGATGGGAAGTTAATAGTAAAATTCATTTTAAGGAGATAGCAAGTATTCTGGATTCATCTGGCTCACAAATGGGTCAGTCGACAGGCTCTTGGGCGCATGAAATAAGTGCTTGGGCTCCATGTCTGAAAACTAAATTCCGTGGCTTGAGTCCACAAGCGAACTGTACCGACTGACCGACCGCCGCTTGTCGGCGAAGTTATTCCGAACTTTAGCGTGTAAGGGATGCCGCGTGGTCAACGCAACAAATCCCAGCGGCCGTTAATTTCGGTTTTCTAGACCGGAGCCGCTATTTTTCTATCCAAATAGCTCCGCAGTTATCCTCACGAGGCTGGATGGACCCCGTTCCAGACCCACTACTTCTCAGAATACCTAGTAGCGCCGGGAATCGAACACGGACCTCTGGCTCTGTAGCCAGGAACTCTGACCGCTAGACAACAGAGGGAGTCTAATTTCTTCTCTAGCTGAGAAATAACTTCTCAAGAAGATCACCTCAGGGTGGAATTAATTATCAACGCCATCAGAACTAAAATAAAAGAAACACGTTTTATAAAGTAAAGAACAGAATAATGGACATACGCAATATGGTTATCGTTCTGTAGCCTTATACGCATAATATAAATTCCACCGAACTCTCATCCTTGGCAAGTGTACCATGTGCACTTCTCTGCTACCATCAGCAGTATTTTATGTTAATTACAGACCACTCTGCTGGACAGATACTTTACGTATACCGTATGAACATGCTCCATATTTATATATATGTACTTATGAAATTCATTTTTATTTATAACATGTATTATTTGTTTATAATATAAGGAATGTCAATTAATTAATTTTTAAAATATATGTGTCGTATTTCTAAATTGTTTAAAGATATGGAAAATTTTGGAAGTCATTATTCATAAAAATTACTTTGGAAACCTTTCTACTTAAAAATATACAACTCTTGTAATCAATTCACAAAATTCTTCTTTTGTAGAGGGAGGGTATTCAAATTATATTGAAAGGTAATAATTTGTATGCAATGAAAGTTCTCACAAGATAAAACTTTAAACTGATAAAATTGACTGTAGTAATTATCGAGGGATATCACTGCTATCAACTTCATACAAAATTTTATCCAATAGTCTTCTCTCAAGGTTAAGTCCATATATAGATGACCAGATAGGAAACATCAGTGTGGGTTTCGAGGTAACAGATCAGCTACAGATCAAATCTTTTACATTCGTCAGATGGTGGAGAAAAATGGGAGTACAATGAGACAGCTATTCATACACTTAAAAAAAGCCTATGATTCAGTTAGGAGGGAAGTATTTTACAATATTCTGATAGAGTTTGGGATACCCATGAAATTAGTTAGGTTGATTAAAATGTGTTTAAACAAAACGTATAGTAAAGTCCGTGTAGGTAAATATTTGTCTGATAAATTTCCTATCCAGAATGGTCTATAAAAAGGAGATGCTTTATCGCCACTCCTTTTCAACTTTGCTTTAAAATATGCAATTAGGAAGGTCCAGGGAAACCAGGTGGGACTGAAATTAAACGGGACATATCAGCTGTTGGCCTATGCCGATGATGTAAATCTACTGGGTGATAATGTATATACCATAAAGAAAAACACACAAACTTTAATTGACGCAAATAAAGAGGTTGGTCTAGAAGTAAACACAGAGAAAACTAAGTATATGTTGCGCTGTTGTCACCAAAATGCAGGGCAAGATAGGAAACAGATGTTTTGAAAATGTGGCACAGTTCAGAAAATTGGGAACGACGATAAGAGATTGAAACCTGATTCATGAGGTAATTAAGAGGAGATTGAACTCCGGTAATGCTTGCTACCATTCAGTCCAGAACCTTTTGTCTTGTCGTCTGCTATCGAAAAACATAAAAATTAGAATATACAAAATTATAATTTTGCCTGTGGTTCTGTATGGGTGTGAAAATTGGTCTCTGACATTGAGGGAGGAACATAGACTGAGGGTGTTTAAGAACAGGGTGTTGAGAATATTTAGACCGAAGAGAGATGAAGTGACAGGAGGTTGGAGAAAACTGCATAATGAGGAGCTTCATAACTTGTACTCTTCTCCAAGTATAATTAGAATGATCAAAGCAAGGAGGATGAGGTGGGCAGGTCATGTAGCACGAATGGGGGAGACGAGGACTACATATAGGATATTGTTGGGAAAGCCAGAAGGAAAGAGACCACTGGGAAGACTAAGGCGTAGGTGGGTGGACAATATTAAAATGGATCTTAGAGAGATAGGATTGGACGATATTGATTGGATTGATCTGGCTCAGGATAGGGACCAGTAGAGGGCTCTTGTGAACACGGTAATGAATCTTCCGGTTCCATAAAATGCTGGGAAATTCTTGAATAGCTGCAGAATTGGCGGCTCCTCCAGAAGGGCTCAGCTCCATGAGTGAGTAGGTAAGTAAGTAACATAGTAAGTAATGTAATGAAAGTTCAAGTTATTATGAAATGCATAAAATAGTAACTGGAGTTTGTACCTTAGCTCCTAAGACGGGAACTGCCACAATATTACAAGTTACGCCGAAAAATGCCTTCTTCCGAACACTCCGAATACTGAACTGAAGAACACCTGAAATTTACTGAAAAGGTGGCGGTACAACTCATGAGAGGAGTGGGAGGCATTTATGAAAATAAAGGATATTTTTACAGTTAACCATTTCGTTAGGGCTTTGTCCGCTCCGTGAAAGCGAGTACCTGTTTACCAGTACTTGGTATTCCCAGATTTAAGGTTGTGGCTTAAATACAATAGGTTCTGTCCCTTCTAAGCAAGGCACACAGAAACAAGAATATTGAGGTTTTATGTTATTATATATGCTGACAATTTGGCATTTTTTTTTCTTTTTATATTACTTTTCGTGACCCACTTAACAGTTTCCATGGCCCCCCATTTTTTCCTGCTGGCCCTTCCGAAATAGAGCACGGCCCCCGCTGAGAACTACTCGCTTAGTGGATAGGCAGATTTACCTGTACCAGGCTATGCAGCCGTCAAGTTTCCTATTGTATATAATAGCTTGGGCAATTTATTTCATTCATCAGTAATCTGTCAGACGACAGGTCCACAGTCTCTTCCAAAACAGTTCCTCCACTTAATGCGATCTTCTGTTTTTGGAAAGAGACTATCCAGGAAAAATGATAATGTGGTAGTTTTTCCATTTGCTTTCCACATCGCAGTACAACAGCCGTTCAAACCACTCTGGTCACGCCTGTTGCTATACGAACTTGAACCATCTCGAGCATCATTTGCTCTGTGCTTCTTTACCAGTTGAATATAGGGCTAGTGCTCGAGGAGAACCTTGTATCATGTAGCGACCTAATGATTGTTGTAGTGTTACGGGCTCAGCTCCGTCGAGTTTTAAATACCATGGTGGCCTGACACTCAACCCCGAATGTAGTCATCACATTCACTTACACAGCCCTCATTTTTCAGTCAGTATAATGACTAGGCTACAGGTTGGACGACCGGGGTTTAATTTCAGGCTGGGGCAAGGATTTTTCACTTCGCCCACGTCTCCAGTCCTCCCAAAATAAGTCACTTTCACCTCATGCCAAAGTTAAGAATGCATGGAGTTTTACCTCTGTTCCCCCATACAATTTTACGGTCTGGTTCTTAAATAAGCACAGGAACAGCCTTAACTTATTCTGTTAATTTGTATATTAAAATACCCTGCGCTGGCTCGCATTGGATGCTTTGCAGTTGTCGCGAGAGTCACTTCTGAACCTGTAATGCATCACGACCTTGTTGTTCTCTTCATTACAGACGCTCTCGGGACCGATCCGGGATCGTCGTGGCGCTCCGAGACGCCGGAAGATCAGACGTCGCCCTCCCCTAGCTCTTGTGCTACCCCGAACTCCGCCACGGACGTCCCCGACGCCGAATTAACCTTCACCGTTGGGGTGACTGAGGGAACGCCATATGCTTGCCAGTTTTGCGACAAGGCGTTCCCTAGGCTCAGTTATCTCAAGAAACATGAACAGGTAAGAGAGAAAGCAAGTACAGAGAGTTGATTCTGCTAACGAAAATGTTATGATATCCACAAGTACGCCGAGGCAGGGCATTTTTTCCTGCAGAAGGGTTATTCTTTCTGTAGTAGTAGTGGTGGTGGTGGCAGTGGAGGGAGGATGAGGAGGAGGATAGGTATTCGTGTTTAAGGACTTTTTTCTGGATTGGTAAAAGGAAGAAAATAGAATAGCCTAATGAAATATAATGCATAACTAATTACGTTGTAGATTATTTGGAGTTTCTAATTTAGTGCGTGAATGACTTCTAAAAATAAAATGAAGTCACTATTCACTTTTGTAACTTAAATCTTAATTTCTAAATTTGCGGTAATAAAAATTGAAAAGGAATACGCAGTAGAAATAGAAAGAATGATAAGGAATATTATGTCTGAACATGAAAGACGTCATATCACACCGTTCACTTCGTAGTTCAACTTTGCTTAAATTTTTCAGTTGACACAGCGTCATTAAATAATATGAGACGCTTAAAAAAGCCACTCATTCAGCGATACCATCAGTCTCTTACTTAATCTACAGAGCGGCCTCCGTAGTCTAGGTGTAACGTTCCCACCTCATGACTCAAAGTACGCGGGTTCAAACCCGGCGGAGGTCGTGGAATTTTTAAGGGCGGAAAAATTCAGGGAACAAATCCTCCGGGAGGGACTAGAGCCGTGGGTCCCGTGTCGTAGATTTACGGCACGTAAAAGAACCTCATGTTTCTAGGAGATCTCTGAGCTAAATTAGGCAAATTTCCCGCCCAAGTAGTTTCCAATGCCTCCGGTAGATGGGAGAGCTTAGGTACCACTGCCAGAGGAGGGACGACCTCACTGACAGAAAGGGACTAACTATTAGATACCACTGCCAGTAGAAGGCCGAAACCTCGCTGGCAGACGGAACGATAGCAAGCATCAGTACCGGTAGGATATGGAGACAGTAGAAATTCAAAGGGGGATGCACAATAGATCAAACTGGTCGTGGTGCATGGGGTAACCCACCCCCTCAATACTCAATACTAAATCTATAAATTGCTGACTATTGTAGGACACTTTTACAACTACAGGAAGGACGCGTCCACGACACACGTTTCTTGAACACTTTGTTTTCGTATTGGAAATTAAATGTCCAGTTTCCCATATGATAAAATTTAAAGCTTAAATTAACAAATAATGGATAGCACATCGCTTTAAGTTGATAAATACAATGGAAATGTAATAAGTTATATTTAATTTTAAATAACAGCTAATTGTTTCTAAACACCGCTGCATTACCTTTGACGGGAAAAGCAAACCGTGTTACTGCATCTATGTTACTTTAGGAGCCTTAACGACGTCTACTGATATTTCTCTCACAGGACGCACTTTGAGTTCACGTAGCGACTTCTTAGAAGTCTGCTTTATGAAAACACTTATCTGTAGAATTTTATGAAGTTCATCTCGTAGGGTACAATAAAGCATGTACTATCTGCTCGCTGCAGTGAAGTGGCTCTACAATGGATCAAACGAGAACACGTATAGTACACATGTCAAATCAAATTAATGAAATTACAGTTGATATTTTCCATTATTTTAACTCGTGTCCTTATACTTAAACCATGTGCGGCAACAGCAGGGAGCAAGGCTAACACATTAGTCACTTTTTTGCGTGTTTCTATATGTGTATATATGTTTGTGCGTTTGTAATTGGGTATGTTGTTGTACGCTGTTTTTGAACATCTGAGTGAAAGAAGGGTCTATAGCTCTCATTAGTCAGAGCACCATTGTGTGAATGTTTCGATGGATGCTGTGATTTCGATTATTAGCATTATCGTTTCGAAGCTGCTGTGCGAACATGACAACATGCTCTGATATAACTCTTAACGAGCTTAATGGAAAAAATCAAGCCAAATGAAATTCGATTAAATGGAATTAAGCTCTGGATAAATTCCAGATGTAATAAAATGTTAGTTATACGCATATGTTTAATCGTATTTTGTCGTGAATTGGAAGAGGAACACATGAACCCAAATGAATGTATATGGCGGAAAGAAGCAAATGTTAAACTAAAACGATTTGGTTTAAAAATGGTCTGTATTTGTCGCATGAAGTTGTTTAAATTGAAACAAACACTCCTCCAAATAATGAATTAACAACCTGAGAGGGAAATCGACAAGAAAATTAAGACAACTATATTACCAAGTACGATGTAATTGTAATAAAAGAGTAAAGGGTGAAGTTGTTTCTGTGCTTAACTAAGTAAGCAAGTAAGTACCGGGGGCTCTCTCCCCAGGGCAAAGAGGCGGGGTATGAAGCTGACCACTCACTTCCAGCTAGTACCGAGGTCAAGAAAACGTTGATCTATACATCCACTCCCCCATACGCCTCATGGCATGCTTAATTAAGCACAGGGAGAGCTTTACCTTATGATTCACGAGATTATATACGTTTGTTTATTGCCCCCCTGATATCGTTATGACACGAGCATCACAAATATGAGAGGGCGAATAGTCCACAGCAATAACATTCCAGATAACATTGTATGTTCATTTCTATAACATCATCTGTAACCTCCCATTAAAGTGAGGTATATGTACTCGACACAGCATGCAAAGGATAATGGAGTTGAAATTAGGTACACAGACAAATATAAACCATTTGATTTAATTTTATTTATTTTACTGGTAGTTAATGACTACGGCTGTAGGTAACAGGGTGATGATAAATTACGAATTTCCATCGGTTATTGTACCGATCACAATGGCTGCGCGGTTTAAGCCATGAACTGTCTTCGCTCGCTCGAACGCTGCGATCGTGGGTTCGAATCACTACTCAAGGCATGTCTGTCTGTCTGTCTTTATTCTGTGTCTGTGTTCTGTATAGGTAGCGGACTTGTGTCGGGCTCATCCCCCGTCCAAGGATTCCTGCCGACTGTCTAATGTTAGAAAACTGAAGTGAAAGCGAAGCGTTTCAAGCATAACCTATGATCCAAATCATCCAATTGGGAGCAACAGGAATAGATAGACAGATAGATAGATAGATTCCGAAATGTGCTTTCTAGTTTTTAGAATACTTGGCGAAAGTAAGAGTCAGAGACCCCATTAATTCTGAATGTTATGTACCATCGTCAGAACCCTTTAGAATCAAGCTGAAAATCGCTTATCGTCACATGAATTGGTTTTCACCCTTGTAGGGCTTACTGTATATAATCTTTAGCTTGATATTTAATTATGTACAGGAGAGAATATGTGGAAATTAATCACATCTACGCTAATAAGCAATTGCTTTATCTGGAATTAGACTGTAACAAGTAGGGTTACTGTATTATTTTTAGCTTAACGCTTGATTTCAGTAGATTTTTCTCTGATAAATTTATACTTTGCGAATTAAGATGAAATTGACTGAAAAATGCAAAGCTATACGACTATTTTTATTCATCTGCCCATAATTAGCTTCCAGATCATTTTAATTGTCAAACTATGGACAAAAATGTTGTATGCATTTTATTTTCTAATAGTTTCCTTTTTAAATTCAGATGAACTTGAATACAATTAGAATGTGTTTTCCTTAACGTTTTAGCTTTAAGGCGTGAGGATCTTCAGTTGCGATGTCATAGTGTCTATGTGGATGTACCTATTCTATATTATTGTCTCATGAACTTGGATCGAAAAGGATATGATTTTAGTATGAAGAAATTTGTTTTTCATTCTACACAGTATATTTTCAAAAATTATCTTCGTTGCTAGAAATATGAGTATTTTCGCATTGGCCCTGTAAAAATGAATATACTTACTCATCCAGTATTATTAACTTGAGGAATTCGTCTTAGTATCGTCATTGCTGCGGATTTGTCTCACTTTAGCATTGAGTGACAAGTTCTGTAACAGCGGAAGATAGTTTGTTGTCTGGTCTAGCCTAGACCGGGAGCTGATTTGAGAAAAGAGACAAGACTCGCCTCGCTGATGACTTTATAGTTCACAAGAACTTAGCGTTATTCTAGTCCAGGTTTTATACCAGCAGGCAGACGGACATGCCTTCAAGAGGATATGCAGTTACACAGGTTTCCCAGCCATTGCATGTTTCAACATTGTCCTTTCGCGAAGTTTCAAGGTTACTCTTTTCATATGCAATGTCTTCAGTAGTAACCTCTGTATGATGCGTATGGTACTGGTTATGCTACGGATAATGGTTTGTTACTAAAACAAAGTTCCTGGGTCCGGCTCACATAACTGTGCACTCTGAACGGACTAAGAAGGCACAGAGTAGGTTCTACACCAACAGAATTGTGAAATTTTAGTTTTTAGGTTCTCACAACGTAGAATAAAATGCGAATTTCATTAATGTTTCGAAGGAATTTAACTGTTTATAGCTCTGCTGGCAGCCTGATTCTTGCTGGATATTTGCTTGGCTTGCTTGACCATGAAGATGGAGGCATTAATTTTATTAAGCAAAGGATGTCTTGTTTTTACAAATCGTTTACAACACAGCATGTGCATATATAAACATACAATACATGCACGGTCCCTGTCAATGGAAACTTTATTCTGCTGAGGGTGCCTTGTTCTGCAAAAGTACGTATTTTACAATGCCATACAACACACATATATACATATATACACGCAGTATATACAGGGACTCTTGTTAGTTTAGATTATTAAGTAGATTGTTCCCTGTCGTTTTAAAAATGCTGCTACTCTCCGTATCCACGGTAGCCGATATTACAGCCGAGATTCGAATCTCCCAAGCTCCGAATACAAGTCTAAAGCGTTACCGCTACACTAACCTGCTTTGTGTGTCACTGAGTTCTGACTTCTACTACCTTGCTCAATATGTATTATAATCTGGTGGATTGTTACCAAAATTATCTTTCTACCTTCACATGTATTGTACTTCGCCCAGTCCTCTGCCATATCCGTCTTTGCATAACAGCTGAAGAATTCCGGTAAGTATACATCTTACTGAAGAGTGTTGAGACTGGCCGTTCTCGAAACATATCCTTTTCAC